GCAGTCCGAAGTGCAACAGCTCCGGGATTTGCCCCAAGGAGCAAACGGGATTTGGGGTGGCGCATTTCTGGCCAGGGTCTGTTCGTTGCGTAAGATATTGTACATCTGGAAATCCTCGGTGTGTGTATCTGCCAGGACATGCCCAAGGGTGATACAGCAGTTCCCGAATGCGCGTTGCGCACCACCACTGGGGACAAGTACTGCGGACTGGTCTGCCGATCCGACTCAGACTGCGGCAGTGGGCTTACGAGTGCTCGTTTTTTGTTGTGGAATGCCCATGTTGAGTATGACTTTCCCAGAACTACCACATGTTCTTGACTTGAGGAACTGGCTCCTGCCAGACCAGCCTAGGGGTCGGCCTCTGCACCTTGGAATTTGCAATCAGTTTGCGGCGAGTCTCCGAAAACTTTGGCCTGTAAGGCACCTACGCCGCCGCGGATGCAGCGCACCCGCTGCAACTTCTTCCTGCCGAGGTTCCGTGGTCCGGGGGAGAGCGCGGCAGATTTGAGCCTTTGCCAGAAACCGCTTTTGTGTCGTGGCCCGAGGCGGCACAGATCATCGTCTAAGCTCGAGGCGTTGGCTGCCAAGTTTCAAGCATGTGCTCGCAATGTGAGAGAGGAAGAGGGAGAGACACGAGCGAGAGCAAGCACGAGCATCGTGCACGAATGAGTGTCGTGTCAGTCCGTGTGACGTGATCGTGCTCATTTCTGGAGGCTGCAGCGGCAGTGCTCACGACAAACCCTAAAAGATCCTGGCAGAAACCGTTGAACATGCAAGCCTGCACTGCACTGGAGTGCCGTCTGGCTTTCTGTTAGTTGAAAAGCCATCGCGGTGTATTGCAGCCCGGCGACCCAAGGGGAGTCGCGAACATCTCTGAAGTCTTGTTTGAATGCCACCTGGGCCAGGGAGGCGAGCTTCTTCCACGGTGGGTGCCCTGCGCTCACATGTGAGGCAGTCTTTTGCAGGGACTTTGGGAGCTGAGGAAGGGACAGTATGTGAGAGCTTTCGTCGTACCACTTGCTGGATATCTGCTAGCTCTGGTCAAAAATGCAGAGAAGACTCAGGACAGCCATATCCACCTCGTTAACTGGACTTGCCATGCAAAGTGGTCTCGCTAATCCGTCATCCAGTGTCGCCTAGCCAGTATCTGATGATCACTACAACCCCTGCAAAAGAGTCTTACCGTGCTAGGCTAGGAAATTGAAGCAGCACGAGAGGGCGCAACATGGTGCTTTGGGAGGTCTGACTTCTGAGTAGCAAGGACTTTGTAGCAGCAGTTTCTTTAGTTTGCCAGCATGATCAGCATGCTGGTCTCTCGCAGCTGCCCGGTGCCCTCGGTGCTGCCGGCAATTTGTTCATCCTGCAGCACCGCCAGTGGACAACCGGATTAGCCTGCAATAGCAGTTTCCTCAGCGAAGGGGTCGTGTGACAATCACAGATAACTTCCGAGGTTCCATGCTGAGACTGGACCCCTCCGCCATCCCAGACATACTAGAGTGCGGCGTATATTCAGCCTGATTGGGGCCGTCGCACCTGGTTTCAACCAAAGAAGTCAAGGGAAGCTGCAACGGGAAATGCCGAGTGTAGTCACAGATGCGCGTAGATTCCTAGATGTCGTGCATGGTGGTTGCCAACCATTGCCCACGATAGGAAATGGGTGCTGAAAGCGAGCACAATGTTCAGCAAGCAGCAGAATTTTGCGTAACACTTACAGTATGCAGCTTCCCATGCCTCGTCTCAGCTGTGAGTGCCACACGTGCGACCCGACCAAAAAAGGTTTGAACACGGGCTGAGTCCGGTCTGAAGTTAGCGAAATCTCAGCCTTGCAGGGCTCGGGCCAGGTGTGCCGACCTTCCGGAACAATCGCATCTCGCGCGCTCCTCGCTGTGTCTTGGTCCAGGCTGGCGGTGCGCCGCAGCGCCCGCAGCATCTCCTCAGAATCAACACCTGGGGGGCAGACCTTCTGCTCCTCTATTGTGACGTGTCGTTGCTTTATCCTCCCATCATGTTCAGACACCAACGGCCGAGGCATGCCCGAGATTCGGCTGTGAAGACAACCAACAAGGTAGTGCAAACTAAGCACGGAGTCTGCATTGAATCCGCGGTTCACGAGTCTTGCTTGGTTTCTAGATTAGTTATTGGGCATGCCATGGATCTGGATGATTGCTTTGCCTGCCGCGGCCGCTTTCGGCGACGACTGGCCCTTGCGCCAGGACAACATGCACGCTGCCCCCATCGTGTTTTCGTTTCTGGGTCCTTGAGCATCATTGAAGTGTGCATTCACTGCGCAATTCAGCAAGGCATGCAGAGGGCCGCCTGCTTCCCTGAGCTCTTTGAGTCTTCAAACCGGGACGTATGCTGTTCAGTCCCACACTCGTGTTATCTCGTGTTACTCAGACAAGCTGGAAGTCTGGTAGAGATCCAGTTGACTTTCATCGACGATGCAGGTCTGCAGCGACATCGGAAGGGCAGCTGGGCCGGATTTGGGCGAAGTACTTGACTCGTTGTTTTCCCCGCCTGCACTGAGGCCTTGTCAGGCCTCTTCAAGCCGACAGACAGTCAGACGGACGGTGTGACAGACAGACAGACGGACAGAGAGGGAGAGACAGCATAACACTGGGGGTCCAAGTGTTGCTGACCGGGTGTCCTCATCGACTAAAGCTTTCACACAGAGACTGGGACAAGCAGGGCGCGTACGGGCGCGGGAGGGGGCTTACCGCTCCTTCTTTGACTGTGTGGAAAAAGGTCGTTTGGATGCGAGTGCATGCCTTTGGTTGTGCACTGCCAACAAACCTCTTGGCACCCGCAACAGGCGGGGGCGCAGTAGCGCAGTGAGGGGCCACAAGCTCTTCACCACAGCCCTGGGGAAAGAAAGAGACAGAGAGACAGACGTTTAACTTGCTTGCTTGTGCATTGCGGGGGCCTTAGAGTGCAGTCTCACGTTTTAGACGCTGTAGTGCCTGGGGTGATCCGGAACAGCGCAGTCGTGAGCAGTTGGTGTAGGCAGTGTCTTGCGTGAAGAGTGTGTTACGTAGCTGAAACCGGACAGCTGTGTGTGTGGCAACACGCTGCGCATGCACCAGCCTTAAGCGCCGGATAGGCCGGGGACTAGGGTTTGCGCTGTACAAGGGTGGCGCGTGCGCGCGATCTGGGTGGAGCGTGCTCTGCTCTCCTTTGGCTGTGCAGAAGGAGAGAGAGAGAGAGAGAGAGCCATTTTGGCTCAAGTCTCTCACCCTTGTGGAAACCCCGGCTGTCAACCGACGAGGTAACGGACGAGCTTGTGGCA